ACCTACGTGCTAGTGACTGTTAAGAACAGCTCATTCCAGTGTCCTGCTTTTTGACATGCATGTGTTGTTATCTTGGCTAACAGGCCTGCCTCCCCACCAAGCTATCTTTGTCATGTTTTTGAGGTGATGTTCTGTTATCACTGATGAGTGATTACGTGAACACCGTGTCTCATCAAAGAAGGAAAATATTGCTAATAGGAGAAGCACACAGAGTAAAGACAAAATCTTCCCAAGGAAATTCTCTTCACAAGAAATTATCCATATTGGGCCTCCCTGGTGGTACAAGGGGTTAAGACACAACCCATGAAGCTTACCATAGCCACTACAGCACAAGTTCGATCCCCAGATAGGGAAGTGACCTACATGGCGCAGCAGATCTCTCCTGACTCACCTGCTGCTCCCCTCAGCAGTGTACTTCAGTCACTCTGCCTGTTCTGTTCCCCATTCTGTCTCTGGTGAATCCTTTCACCCCCCCAAAAAAAACTCTGGCCTGTACCTCAGTTATTGTATGTATAAATGAATAAATCTTTAAAAAAAAAAGAAATTATCCATATTAAGCTATATGAGGTTTGTCCCCATAACATCTACCTAGTTAGAAAAAAAGTGGGTTTCTTCTGAGGCTGAAAATTTAACATCGTTTTAACAGTCACAAAATCATAGTGAAATCTCTCACAGTAAGCATGAAGAAACAGTATCCTTTTGCAAAAAAAGGACTGAAACAATAGGTCTTTATGAGTCTGGGATAGTCCCTTTCATTCCATGAAGAAGCCCTAGATTTTGTTTTCAATTCATGGTACATGTTGATAGGAGCCTTGTTCGAGCACTCACATACTTTTCATACACTTTATAAATATGAAGTCATAACAATGGTCCCCTTGAGGGAGAGACTGGATTGTGGATTTGGAGAGCGGGTAACCGGATGCCTAGATAGAAAGTTAGAAGGCACAGGGCTGGTTGCCAGAAAATAGTGGGAAACAAGATAGAACCTGTTTACTAGAACTAGGGTAGGACCAGGGGTCTGGGCTTCAGAAACAAGGTGAAGCCAACCGCTAGTTCAAAGGTGTCTGTTCAGAGTTGGACAGGCCACAGACTGATTTGGTTATGAGCCATCGAGCTCCCTCTGTATGGCTTCTTAAATTCTCTGAGACTAGCCAATGGATTGTTCTGGCTAATATACGCTTTCCCTGGAATGCCCTTACTCCCTTCCTTACCTGGTGAACTCATACATTCTTTAAGACTCAGCTCAATTGTCCCCTCTCCTGTGACACTTAGTGCTATAGATTTCAATTTGGCAGCATCTCCCTCTTTTTTTTTTTTAAGATTTTTTTTTAATAGAGGCATGTTTTTATTTATTTGTTTGTTTGTTTTGTTTATACATGCACTGGGTACAGTCAGAAGCGTGGGAGGGTGAGAGAATTCACCAGAGCCAGAGCGGGGAGCAGAGCAGGCAGAAGGACCAAAGTACACTGCTGAGGGGAGCAGCGGGCGGCAGGAGAGGTCTGCGCGCCATGTGGGACCCTCCTCCGGTGGCCGGGGAGCAGCCGGGGACTGAACAGGCACCGCAGAGGCCGCGGGCAGCTTCACAACCCAGCGCTCTGCCGCTGCGCCACCGGGGAGGCCCAGCATCTCCCTCTTGATTCATAAACAGAGTTAAGTGCATCCCTCCCTGGGGCATCCATGGCATTGTGATTGGTTTGGAATATGAACTTCAAAGTCTAATAAACCTTAGTGTGAATCATGTCTCCACGTCCTTTCTGCATGGCTTGTGAAGATGACTTTATATCTCCACATTTTGGTTTTCTAATCTGTAAAATGGGTTCATAAATTGTACCCACAGCTTCTTCTTGTGCTAGAGATTAAATGAGATAATACACATAGAGCTCTTTGTATTGTCTCTAGCACACAGGTAGTCCTGTCTTCATTTGGGCTCTTTGGTGGCCTGCATCAGAAACTAATTGTGGCTAACAAACAAAACAAAAGGTGAACTGGGCCTCCCTGGTGGCGCAGGCGGTTGAGCGCCTCACTGTGAAGCTGTCCGCAGCCTCTGCAGTATGGGTTTGATCCCAGCCGGCCGGCGATAATCCCACATGGCGGGGCAGACCTCTCCTGTCGCACCGACTGCTCCCCTCAGCAGTGTACCTCGGTAGACCTGCCTGTTCTGTTCCCCGCTCTGTCTCTGGTGAATCCTCTCACCCCCCTGCACCTCTGGCCTGTACCCCCAGCTCTTATATGCATAAATAAATAAATAAATCTTTTTTTAAAAAAAAGTAATGTAGCTCAGCATTTTAAAAAAGAAAAGGGTTGGAAACAATAGGAAAATTTGAATGATGACTGGATTTTAAATATTAAAGAATTATTATGAACTTTGTATGAAATTGATTGAGGTTATGTTTTTAATATGATCCTTCTAATATGATCCTGCTAAAGGAGTATCACCTGCTTTTCAAAAGTTTGCACTATGAAACATCACTTTAACCAAAGACTTACATTAGTATGTGTTTTTGCTAACCAAAAAACATTTGTAGAGGATTTCCACTTTTACAACAAAAGTGAAAATAGCACACTCAGCATTGGTTTTACAGCAGCAATGCTAGGGGTAGAGGGACCCCAAGCAGAAGAGTAACCCCACCAGACAGACTCCTTCCCTGGGAACTGCTTTATACAAATTGTGAGCTTTTGACAGTATTTGTGCTTTCACTCTGTGCTACTGTTATTTTAGTTTTTTAGTGTTACTCAGTACAATTTTGTAGATTATTGTGGAGGTCTGGGAATGCTCAAAAAGGTTTGCATATAAACTAATGGTACTTCCTTCTTTTTATGCCCTTTCAGCTCACAAAAGATTTCATAGGAATTCTTTGCTTTGGGGTATTGGGTGAAATCTGTAATTAAAAATGAAAGGAAAAAAAAGAATCAAGAAATCTTGCCATAGAACACAGACCCTGAGTCCATTAATCTGACCTAGGGAGTCAGTGACCAGGGAGATCACTTCCTTTGGAAAAACTTTTCCCTTTGCAACTATTCCAACCTTTTTGAAGGTGTTTCACAGGTTAATGCAAAACCTGTCACCTTCTATTTTTGGTCCACTGATTCTGGTTGTGCTTTTGGAAGCAATAGAAAATAAACGTTCTTCTATATATGTTAGTAGGTAGGGGCATATATCACTTGTCTTGCTTCGCTGCTTGTTTTTATTTTTATTCTTTAACTGGGGAACTTAATTTTTGTTCATGTAAGAGCTTTTTTCTTTTCTCTGTATTTATTTATTGTTATTGAAGGTGGTTGAGCTGCATACAATTATTGAGGGCTTAGCTTTCTACCTGCTTATTAGCATTGTCTATAGAGTGAAAGGGACCGAAATTAAGACTTACTCTTGCCATGTATGTGGATCTCTAACACTCATTTTCTGAAGCTATAAAATGGAGTAATGAAGTATTAGAGTCCCAGGGTTCTTGAATCCCTACCACCACATGCCAGGCACTGCACTTGGCTCTTCAGATATATTATAGTTTGTTTAAATTGCATAATGGTCATCCTAATTAAGCATCATTATTCCTCTCTTTATATACAAGTAATCTCAAAATTTAAGTCACTTACCGCAGGCCACATAGCATTAAATTCTAGAAAATGAATATTTATTAATAATTGTTAATGTTTATTGAGGGTTTTACATATATTATCTCACTTAATCCTTCCAAAATCCTATGAGGTAATTACAGTCATGATGACCCATTTTATTGTAGAAGCTAACTTGCCCACAGCCACACAGCTACTAAAAGATCAAAGTGGTACTCTGTTTTCTACATCTTTCTGATTCCAAACTCCATTTCCCTTCAACTCCTCCTTTTCCTCCCCATCCTTAGTATGTAATTTTCCCTTCTCACAAACCTAACATGCATCAACCTTCTCACTTAGCCGTTAGATAAACCCTTGCAAATGAAGATATAAAAGATTTATTCACTTTCTGGAACTTCCCTTGATGATTCAACATTAGTGGTGGAATTTTTCAAATGATTTTATCTTAATGATAAAATCTTTCAAGGCCTTTTCCTGTTTTGTTTATCAAATGTTTTCTCTTTGTCAAAGGGAAAAATAAAAAGAGTAAATGGCCAAGGTCTATCATGATTTGCAGAGTTAAGGATAGATTCCCCGTGTCACTTTAGCCCTGGTTTTTCTTGTGTGTCACCAGTTTGCAGGCAAATTCTCCTCCAGGTTCCCCTCCCCCACCCCAGCTGTGAGTTGTCTTGGGAATAATCTCTATTCATGCATATTCATTAAACAAGGCTACCATACTTGGGAAAAACTTCTGGGCCTCAATGTCCCTCTCTCCCACCCCAGAACACTGGCCTACATCATTAGGGATTGTGAAAATAGTAGTTATTAAAGACTCTTCTCTCCTCCCCTTCCCACTGGGGCCTGTCAGAGTGCTCCTCAGGATTGAATGAGCAAAGAGGTCCAGGAAAGGGGTTGGGGTGAATGAGGCCCAGAATACTCTGATTTGCATAAGAAAAAGACCAAGATTAAGTACTGTGAAGAGTTTGGCTCCTAGCCAAGGGAAAGCTCTGCAGCCTGGAAGGAATAAGGAAAGAGGGAGGGTGTGATTGAACCTCCCTTGGTGGATGAAGTGAGGTAGGTATGAGGCCCCCCACACCCGCCCCAAGTCTAAAAACCACTGAACTGTTTGTGCTCATCTCCCAGACCATGTGTTAAAGAATAGGTAACACAGATAAAGTTGGCTTTGCGATTGGTAATCATTTGGGGTTTCTATTTAACTCACCTTTCAACATGCAAACAACTATAAAGGATTTTGTACGTGTAAATGTGTATTTCTACATGTGCATATGTGCATACATCCATACGTGTGTGTTGCAGATTTCTTTTGAAGGACAAAACATACAACTATCCCCTTGTTCCTCAAAATTCTCTGCTTTTGTGGAAACTAATGAGGAAATAAAATCATGCTGAGAGAAGGGAAGAAATCTGAAAACTTCTGTACTATTTTGCAGGTTCTACATTGAGAGCATATCATTTTTAAAGGATAAAACCACTGTAGAGCTATTTTTCTTGAATGCGAAGTCCTGTGTGCACAAGGTAAGATGCCCATGGGTTCTGGTCAATGAGTGTTTCTAGATCCCTAGAGTTGTGGGAAGAAATGGTGGTGCCTATATGTTCTTGTTCAAAGGAAGAAAAAAGACCATAATCTTTTCCATTGATATTTTCTGCTCCAAACCATTCCCTTTATGCCCTCTTCCCTCCAAAAAATGGTAGCTCTTATCAGACTCTGTCAGATCCTGAGGGAGGAAGATGACCAGAAGAATCAAGGTCATACACAATCACCTCAAATGACCTCAAAAGATAGAAAATGGATGCAATTGTGATCGAAACCTTAAAAAAGTCAGGCCAGAAATCTTTTTTATCAGAGTATCCCCACATTCACCATAACTCAAAACCCATATTATTTAGGGCCTCCTCCTCAGTGCTGCATGCTTTACAACAGTGTCTCAGTTATCTGTGGTGAGGGAACACTTTATTTTGTCTTATTGTTTTTCAGTTGCATCCAATTCAGGGAGGACACATTGCTTTTGTAAAATTCAATAAGCATGACTTTCTAGAAAAATGATCCCATGCTTGGATTTTGTGCCATGTCAGATTGCTGTAAGAGTTTAAAAGACTCTCAATTTCTTCCTCCTTGTAGACTAGAATTGCTTCAAAGTCCTCCACTCTGACATTCTCAAACCACGCCTTCAGTGAGGGCAGGGAGTCTAATGGGTCGAGATAGGCTCATCTGGAGCCTAACTCCTCCCTTCTAGGTTATGGTCTCAAAGCTCAAGGTATGCATCCAGGCCTAGTGGGAGCACCTTCTGTCATATATATCACCCTAACTCTGAGAGATGGCCAGGGGCAGCCATATCTGTGAAAGACAGGGCGGGCAGGCTGTGGGTTAGGGCACCTACTTTCATACCTTTCCTTAAGGTCCCCAAAAAATGGCCCACTGCACACATAGAGCCTTAATTGGTTAAGACATAGTTGTTATGTTTTGTTTAAAAAAAAAAAACAACAGCTTGACTGAGATATAGCTGACTGTACATACTTAAAGGGTAGAATTTTATAAGTTTAAACATACAATATTCCAGTGAAATGATTACCACATTCGAAATAATGAATATACCCTGCAACTACAAATCTGCTTTTTTCTCACAATAGATTAGTTTCTACTTATTTGAGTTTTCTATAAATGGAATCATACAGTAGGGAATCTTGATGTCTTCTTTCAATGAGCATAATTATTTTGAAACTCACCCATATTGTTGAATGTATCAATAGTCCACTCTTTTTATTGCTGAGTAGTATTCCACTGTATAACTGCTTTGAAGTGTTTATCCATTCACCTGGGTTTTTTCCCCCCATTTTCTTCCAATTTTGTTGGGATAGAATTGACATGGAATATTATGTAAATTTAAGGTGATGATTTGATGCACAATCATATTGCAAAATGATCCATTCACTTCTTGATCGATATTTGGATTATACTAGTTTGGGGACTTCTACAAATAAAACTGCTATGAACATTCATGTAAAAGTCTTTGTAAGTACATGTTCTATTATTTTCTCTTGGGTAAACACCTCGTAGTGGAATAGCTAAATCACATAGTAGGTACATGTTTAACTCTTTAAGGTACTGCCAACTGCTCTCCCTTTTGGTGTTCCCCAAAGGGGTTGTTCTGTTTTAAATTCCCACCAGCAGTGTGTGAGAGTTCTAATTCCTTCATATCCTGTCAATACTTGGCACAGTTATTCTTTTTCATTTTAGCCATTGATAGGTGTGCAGTACTATCTCATGTGGCTTTACTGTACATTTCCCTGGTGACTTATGATGGTGAGCATCTCGAATGTGCTCATTTATATTGATGTCTTCTTTATGTTTGTATCTTTTGCCTAATTTCTACAGGTTGTATGTGTTTTAAATCGAGCTTTCAGAATATATACATTCTAGATACAAGTACTTTATTGGTTATACAGACTGCAAATATTTTCTGCCAACCTGTGACTTGCTTTTCAATATTAACATTGTCTTTCTTTTGGATTTATTATGTATTTTATTATTCCATTTTTCCTTTTTTTTTTTTGTATTACTAGCTACAGCTCTGTTTTGTTATTTCCATGGTTGCCTTAGGTTTTAGAGTATACATTTTCAACTTATCAAATCTACCTTCTAGAGATACTCTACCACTTTACTTGTAGTATAAGAACTTTATATAGCATTATTTCTGTTTTTCCCTTCCAAGTCTTTATGCTATAAGTCCCATAAATTTTACTTGTAGATGGGATCAATGTATGTGATATTATTATTATTGTCATTTTGTAAACATTTGATTATATCTGTCTGCTTTTAAGATTTTCCTTTTATCACTGCTGTGAGCAATTTGATTTAGAGATGACTTAGTATAGCTTTCTTTGTGTCTCTTGTGTCTATTTTTTTTAATTTATTTGTTTTTAACTGAGGTAATATTGGGTACCCTTATCAGATATTACCACCATAGTTTACTAACCACCAACTCACACTTATTCCATCACCATAGACCATTGTGCTGTCTTCCCTCTTTGTTCTTATCCCACCCATTCCCTCCCCCTTGTCTATCATTCTGTAGACAGCTATCAAGGGTTAGTTTTTCAGCTTGCCTTTATCTGACTGTTAATGTGGTTACTTTATATTCCACATATTAGTGACACCATCTGGTATTTCTCTTTCTCCTTCTGACTTATTTCACTTAGCATTCTCCTTTCAAGCTCCATCCGTGTTGCCACAAATGGTATGAATTTATCTTTTTTGATTTGTTGAGTAGTACCCCTGTGTGTGTGTGTGTGTGCACACACATCTTCTTGATCCTCTCATCTGTTCTGGGGCCCTTAGGTTGTTTCCATAGTTTAGCTATAGTAAATAGTACTGCAATAAACATGGGAATGCAAGTTTCCTTTTGAATTAGTATTTTTGAAATTTTTGGATAGATGCCAAGGAAGGGTATTTACTGCGTCAAATAGCAAATCCATGTTTAATGTTTTGAGACACCTCCCTACTGTTTTCCATAAGGATCTGACCAGTTTGCATTCCTACCCGCAGTGTAGGAGGGTTCCCTTTTCTCCACATCCTCTCCAGCATTTATTGTTTCTGGTGTTTTCAAGTTTATTATGGGTTTTTGTGTGGTCTTTTCTGAGTTTTTTGTGTATGTTTGATATCAGGCCTTTGTCAGATATATGGTATGCAAATATTTTCTTCAATTTAGTAGGGCATCTTTTCATTTTAGCTATGGTTTCTTTCCCTATGCAGAAACTTTTTAGTTTGATGTAGTCCCAGCTGTTTATGTTCTCTTTTGTTTTCCTTGTTGTTGGGGATGAATCCCTAAAGGCATCGTATAATTGTTGTTTATTGAATGTCTTGAGTTTATAGTGTGAGTTTATAGTTTTAATCAAAAATTTAGAAATAATTCAGCTATTATTTTTTCAAATATTTTTCCATCCTCTATACCTCTTTTGCAAACTTCACTCACCCATGCAATAGACTACTTGAAATTGTTCCACAGCTCAACACTGTTCAATTCCTTTTGTCTGATTTTTTTCTGAATTTTATTTTGGGTAGTTTCTATTTCTGTGTCTTAAATTTTATTTATTTATTCATTTTTACAATCTAATCTGCCATTTTTCCTATCCAGTATTTTGGAGTTATTATCTTTAGAAGTTTGATTTGAATATTTTTTTATATCTATATGTGACTACTTAACTTTTAAACATGAAATACAGTTATAATAATTGTTTTAATTTCCTTGTTTGCTTATTATAATAATTCTGTCAGTTTTGGGTTGTTTTGACTAATTGATTTTTCTTCCCATTGTGGGTTGTTTTCTGGCCAATTTGCATGTGTGGTAATATTTTGATACTGAACATTGTTTAACTTTATCTTTTTGGATATTCTTTACTTTTATATTCCAACAAATGTTCTTGATATATATATATATTACTTTTGTGGTTCATTAAGTCAGCCTGGATCAGTACTTGTTCTAGAGCTAATTATTCCTATTATTAAGGCGACAACTTCCTGAGTGCTATACTCAATGTCCCATGAGTTATGAGTTTTTAACAGTCTGGCTGGTGGAAATGGACATCATTTCTAACACAGTGCTTGAGTACCAGCTACTCTTCCCTTTCATCCTTTCAGATAGTTCTTCCTCCAACTTCGGATAGCCTCCTTCCATGCATATGCTCATCACAAAAACTCATCTGCTAAATACTAAAAGAAGACCCTCCACAGATCTAGGATTCTCTCTGTGTGCAGCTCTCTTTCCCTGACACTCTGTGTCAGGAATGTTCCACATTTTGGTCTCCTTAGTCTCTCAGTTCTACCTCCTCAACTCAGAGAGTACACCAGATTCCATCTGGGTTCCCCATAGCACAAAGCAGGGGCAGCCATGGAGTTAACTTCACTCATGATTCACTATCTCCTGTTGCCTAATGTACACTATGTTGAAAACTGTTGTTTCATATTTATTGTCTTTTTTTGTTTCTTTTTTCAAGTATAAGGTTATATTAAGTCTCTGTTAGTCCATCCTTGCCAGAACCAGAAACTGAGTTTTTACCTAGTTTATAAGGAAAATAAAATGTTTCTAGCACCAAAAGCTTTATTATAGCCTTTTCTGAAACTTGGACCTCCTTAGGAACTCCAAAGGTTGACTGATATGTGGACACTTATATAGCAATTGCAGTATTTACTGAGTTAGGAAAACATTTTGTAAACCACAATTGGTCATCATCACATATGTAGAGCAATGTAGTTACCCATTGTGATAATTTTCTCTGTCTTTAGATAACATGGGCCAATGAAATAGTCTCCTTGATTGCTCTGCTGCTAATGTAGAGAAAGATAGGATGCAAATTTTAACTCATCAATATCTTTTATATGACCGTTACTGGGATTTTTTTTTTTTAATTTGGCTATAGGAATTCAGAATTGAACATTTTCTAAGTAATATGCAGATGGTTAATAACAATCCCAAGAGACATTACAGAGCTGGTAGCTATTTGGTAAAACAAACTTCAAA